AAGTAAAAGCTGCTTTTGATGCTTGGTAAGGTAGGATTTTAGAGGTAAGTTATTTGTTAGAAGTAAACGTATTATAAGAAAAAGAATTTAAGCATTGTCAAACATGCATCAAACAATAGAGAAAATAACAACTTAAAGAAGTCAAAATCTTTACCATGAAAGCAATGACCAATTACTCCCACCACCACCTTCGCCACCTCTTCCACCGCCTGGACCTCCAAACCTACCTGCTCCACCACCGGAGCCGCCTCCACTCGAAACCCGAAATGAACGGGGACAAGAAAATCTAAACCCCAATTCAGAGCCTCCCGAGACCTTAAACCCATTAGTAGAATGCAGATTGAAACTTCGGTTACAGCTCGTAAATCTCCTAGCTATGTGAATTGGGTTAATCCTGTTCTGGCAATTGAAGTTGCAAGTCGGAGTGCGAGAGAAATTTGAGAAACGGAACAAAAGACTACGCAGCAAAAGAGGGGATATCTGGGTTAGTGTTAGTGTTACAGAATTCGAAACCACCATTGTTAGATTATTGTCATCAGAGTACACAAATACACGTGGGTTTTTGAGGTTTTAATCCAAAATGTTGTCCCGTGCGCTTATTAATTAGAGAAATTTGCACGTTTCTCCCAACCTTTACAAACTATTAGTAATCTACCTCGGTTCGTTTTCATCGTGACATATCACACTTTCAATTAATTGTAATTCATATCCTTCCGTCAATTTTTCATTAAATCAGTGTAAAATGATGAATTTGCCCTCATATTTCCCTGCTATCTTAAAAGAAGCAACCCATCATTTACTTTTCATTTGTGAAGTATTTTTCCCCATCTTATCCATAGCCATCTTCTACTACCCATTCACGTATCTTCAAAACAAAATGGTATTATGAACTTCCTCTTACTCACAATTGTTGATTGGGAAAAGACAAAAAGGGAAACAACCACAATTGTTGACTCTTCTCAAAAATAAAGGAGAAAACAATAACGGAATCAACCATTGAATTGTATTCCTGCTTTTCCATCTTCTTCATATCTACTTGCTCCTGGAAGACGAAAAAGAGGACACGACAACTTGTTTCACAAGTTTTCTGTTTTAGCCCACAACATCAATTTCATCTTCATAGCAGGTTCACGGAGGTTACTATTCAATATTATATCGTGTATTTTGCCGTTTTCGAATCTGAAATCTGTGTTTCACTCAAGAAATCAATTCAACCCGAAACCTGAGAGAAAAGTTACAGTGTCCTCGTTTGAGCTTCTCTGGAAGTTTTCAAAGGCTGCAAACATTTTCCAGACATCTTGCGGTATTCTCAAACAATTAAAACATATATTATACATAAGTTTCAGTATGATACCAATTTCATTTATCTCTATTAGTTTTTTACAAATTTTATATATGTAGGTTAATATATTTCTTAGGAACCTTAGTTCCACTCAAGAACAGACTTATATGTGCTAATAGCCTTTTTCAATTTCTGTTGATTACTTTCAGAATCAATTATTCCATAGGTTAGTATATTCTTCTAATGGATGTTCTGAATACATGTTTAAGTGGAGTTACTGGTTCTTTAAACTTCGAAACAATATCCCATCGCTAACAACAAAACCAATGGCAAAGAGATCGTTGAAATCGACTCCGAATTGGACGCACTGATCATCGCAAAAAGAATAGTTGATCCTATGTCATCCGAAAATAATAATTCAAATCCTATGCAAATGCAACATTCTACAATGAATCATGATTTTAATGATTTTGAGGCTTTTACTTCAAAACAAGAGGCACCTAATATTTGTAATTATGCTGTCCAAAGTAGTTCTTATTTATTGAACATACCGACAACTTCATATGTATTACCCCACATGCGATACTTATAGACATTGTGGTGCAAGAAAATTTTATAGAGAAAGTAAAGGCTTCTGTTGTTCTGATAGAAAAGTTCATCTGTGTGTTCCTGATTCACCCGTTGAACTGTACAACTTATTCACATTCAAAGAACTGAAAATATGGAATTCATAAAAATTGCAAGAGGATATAATAATCACTTCGCTTTCACTTCATTCGGTGTTAAATACGACAAAAATATCTTCAAAGCATACAAAAATATTTACACATTTAGAGTTCCAGAACAAATATACCACTACGTAAATGAACTTATCCCACATGATAATAAGCATTCTTATATGCAGTTATATTTTTATGACACAGATAATGAACTTCAAAATCGTATGAAAATTTCAGAAAACTTTGTCAAATGTATTTTGATTGTTTAAATTGAAATTTTAAAGGTAAATCTGTATAGTAGATTTTTCACGTCTTTAAGTGATATGCCTAACTTGCAAAATCATGAAATACACATAAGATGCGATCCAAGACTTGATCAACGAGGCTTTAATATTCCTACAGTATCTCAAGTAGTCATTGTATGGGTGAAGAAGATAAGAATGCTAATGTTCGCGTTCATGACATTATTGTATATGGTCATTCTGATGAATCACATAGAGTTCATTATTACTACGGTTATTATGATCATTTGCAGTACCCATTACTTTTTCCATACGGGAATCTGATTGGCATGAAGGCATTGGGAGATATTTTCAACCTCCTGCTCAATTTGTTGCTTTTCCTACAACAATGACCTCTTCATCTGAATTTATTGAACAAGAAAATGAAGGTTCGTATACAGATTTTGGTTTACATTTCACTCATTTACACACTATAAATGTTGTACATAAATGATCAATTTCTTTTTTCAGTGATTATTGGAACGAAGCACTGATCCCAGGTTTCTTGTCGAGAATATTATTCATACAAATTGCAAATTAGGTCTTCCAGTAAGTTCGTTTTTCTTCATAGTGGTAGATTGCTTCAATTGCATGTTGTAGATATGTATATTATGATTGAAATTGTAAGGTTGGACTATTTTCGTAATAACTAGAAACAAATTGGAGCTGAACTTTACCAATATATTGTAGATAGCGTTCAAAATGGNTAGTCGGTTTCGTGACATTACTATATATGGTCATTCTGGTGATTCAGATGGAGTTCATTATTACTACGGTTGTTATGATCATTTGCAGTACCCATTACTTTTTCCATACGGGAATCTGATTGGCATGAGGCATTGGGAGATATTTTCAACCTCCTGCTCAATTTGTTGCTTTTCCTACAACAATGACCTTTGTATCTGAATTTATTGAACAAGAAAATGAAGGTTCGTATACAGATTTTGGTTTACATTTCACTCATTTATACACTATAAATGTTGCACAGCATTGATCCCAGATTTTTTGTCGAGAATATTATTCATACAAATTGCAAATTAGGCCTTCCAGTAAGTTCGTTTTTCTTCACAGTGGTAGATTGCTTCAATTGCATGTTGTAGATATGTATATTATGATTGAAATTGTAAGGTTGGACTATTTTCGTAATAACTAGAAACAAATTGGAGCTGAACTTTACAAATATATTGTAGATAGCTTTCAAAATGGAGAGACAATGGGTTGCAACATTGGGAGAAAATTTATTTTGCCACAATCCTTCACATGTGAGCCTAGAGATATGTTAAGAAGATATATGGATGCAATAGTTATTGAACAGCGCTATGGAAAATCAGATATATTTTTTATTATTATATGTAATCCAAATTGGTTATAGATTAGGCAAGAACTAAAATACAATGATGAAATTCAAAATCGTTCAGATCTAACTGCACGTATATTTAGAGCAAAATTAGAAGAATTGAAAAACGATTTATACAAAAAAAATGTCTT